ATTGACACTTTTCTCCGTCTCCAAAGAAATTGTTCAGCATTAACAAAGGCGGACTGCAAGACTTCTTGTCCACCCATTGAAATAAAAATTGTTGCATTTTTTTTCTGCAAACAGATAAGTCGTAACACTTTAAAAAAGGGCGACGTTGTCTTTTTCGCATTAAAACTTGTCATAAATTAGCCCTGTCAGCAGTAGTAACGGAGTAAATTGATAATGTGTGACTGCCACACAACTAAAACGGAAGTTGCTTCTCATCTTCTTCCGTTTTTTTTTGAGAAAAGAAACAAATTAAGACATGTAGAAACGAAATGGCAGAAACGTGTGAATTTGGCGATGCGATTTTCAGCCTTTGACACGTGTTTTGATGGGGTGTGGTTTTGATGGAAGGCAGCCGAAGGAGTTGACGGAAAATTGTCTCTCGTGGAGGAAACGAAACCATGTTGAGGAGAAGCCCGACAGCTTCCACTAGGCGACAGAAGTGAGCTGCTGTGCTTCTTCAACTTTGACTTCCGTCGATGTGGGCCTCTCTAAGTGAGGTGGTTGATTTGTTTGATGGGGATGTGCGTACGATTTGTCCTTCCTCTCATCAGGTGTGCTTCGTGTTGTGGCTATGGTGGAGGACGAGAAAAAAGAGGAGGAGGAGGAGGAGTGAGCGTTGAGGATGAAGATGCATTGACCACACACCAGCAATTGTCGTCTCTCCACCAACATTCAAAATCACAGTGATGGCTCGTGAGGAGTTGGCACGACTTGGTGCGAATGACAAGTCCACACACACACACACACACGGAGTTGTCAGTAGTGCCGCCAACCTTCTCACCTTCACACACATCGCACTGGCACTCGCGTTGATGCGTTGCAATCGCAACCGCAATGACGTGTGGGAAAAGGGAAGGCAGTGGATATCACAAACAAGGCAAATGATGGAGGGGGGAGGAGGAATGAGGATGTGATGGTGGTGGTGGTGGTGGTGGTGGGAAGGGCAGCAGTGAAGAGCAGTGCTGCCGCCATGCTA